TACTAATATATGGTACTTAGTAGCACAATCAAGACAACATGTTGTGTAGTAGTATTGTGTGAATTCTCTTTATCTTAAATCTACGTTACTAACTTGGTTAAAAGTTGCAACCAGCTTGGCTATTAAATTATCATACAGGGTGGTTTTGTTCAAAACGACTTCTAACATTTTAAAGTATTTTTGTTAGTTATTATTTGTAGGCATTCATCCACTATACGTTTCGCAACTCTTGTAGAGAGAGTGTAGGTTCTATTTTGTAAATTTTACTTATTAAGTGACACCAAATACAAAAATCTAGGGGAGTAAAATCTGGAGATCTGGCCGGCCATTCCAGAAATCCTCTTCCTCCAATCCATTGTCCATGAAAAATATGGTCCAAAAACTCTTTAACACGCAGAGCATAGTGTAAAGGTGCTAGCAGGCTCCATCTTGTTAGAACATTAAATGATTTTCCAAGTAGCAGTCATTGTTTTTAAAAATATCGACCAGTAAGGGATGAACTACATCTTCTAGTAATTAAAAATACATTTCTTTTGTCAGTTTACCACCAGACATAAAGTTTTTGAGGAGTATGAGTGTGAACTTCGTAGTTTTTTCTAAAAACTACCGCCCGGTCGTGCTCATTCCTTTTGTAAATATTTAATGCACATAATATATTATTAATGACAGAAGTAAAGATCGACAGCAGTGTCACAATGAATTGGATTCCAATGGACCAAATATTTTACATATTTTTATTATCAACAATGTACATAAGTATCCTAGCAATTTAAAGAATTCCCTATGGCCATCTATTGGGATTGGCTATCGTTTTTTATTCTTATCTCGCTTATCCTTTAATATTACTGTTAATAATTATATATTATTAATATTTCCATTTCACATAAGGTATTATCGTAAGTAATATCATAAGGGCATTTAATTTTTCCGAAAAAAATCGTTGCTAAGTAATATTTTAACAAAAAGCATGAGTGCTGGTGGCAACAAAAATCCGAGTCGAAGAGGAGGATTTTTGCACCTGCACGAATGCATTTTGTTAAAAAATATTACTTAGCATTGTGTTTTTTCGATTTTTTTCACAGGAAAAATTAGATGCCCGAATGGTATTTGACAAGACTATTTCATGAGTAACAGTAAACAATTAAAATGTAAATTGCAATTTTTGTTGACAACAGCTGTCAAGTTTTGCCGCGGGTAAACTCGAATAAACTGCTGACAGGTGCTGTCATACAGTTTTTCTACCTAGAAACCATTTGTAATTCAAAATTGCGCGTTTGTGATTGGTCAAAATTAAGACGAGGGAAATAGTCAAATATATTTTAATACACGAATCTATTTTACCTTCTATCTATGGTTTATGATTGAATTTTTTTTTAAATACCTTTAATAATTCACAAATAATTTCAGATTTTTTTGCAGCACAGATTTCATTCCATTTTATATTATATTTTAATATGCCATATTTTTATTTTGTCTCACGAGCTCGCTCATTATATTTCCATAAAAAATTAACTAAATAATCAATGTTTAAGCTATTAACATAATTCTATTTTGTTTCTCGAGTTTGGAAATAAATTTTTAAATAAATGTGAGAAATCTGTGGAATATAACACTTCTTTACAAGTGTTATCCATAGATTCTTTTGTTTTTAAACTTGAGCAACCAAATAGGATCACGTTGATAACGTAAAAATTGATTATTACAGTATAATTTTTATGGAAATCTCAAAAAATCTTTTTTTGGCACTTTTTTAAATTTTTATTTTAAATTTCGTGCTGCCAACTTAAAAAACACAACAAACTTTAATTTTGCTATTATAACAACAAATTAACAATTTATATTATTACCTATTTACTTTTTTTTTAATTTAAAGTCAAAGTCACGATTGTAGCTTGCCCGCCTAACCGTTACATTTTTTTGAATAATTATTTTTGAACTTTAATGATATTTTTTGTAGTTATTTGCTGCTACATACCTATTTTCGGAAACTTTCAATGGTTGTATTTTAAATTTGTCAAATTATATAAAATATTATTAAAAATTTTATTAACACTACATATTTTACTACATATTTCTATTAATATAACTATTATACTTATTATAAGTATAATCAACTCTAGAGGCACTCTATATTTTTAGGAACTAAATACAGTTTCCCTTAGGACCACCAGGAATAACATAATATGGATATAATCTGAATATTTTCAAAGTTTTCCCTGATTTTTGACTGTACTAAAAAATCAAGACCAATTATGTTTATATTAATTATAATAATAATCTTTATTTATGTTATATACAAGTATATACACAAGTCAAAAGCAGGTTAAAAATATAATTAATAATTTACTATTTTGATTGGCAAACTTAATAAAATTAGTATATAACTATATAAATATTGTAAAGATTTCTCCTTACCCCAGGTTCGTTTAAAACAAGTTTTATGAAAAATTGATAAATTAAATATTTTGTAGCTTTGGCCCGTGATCGTCTTACCCAAATTTGGACCTCTACGCTGTGTTTACTTACTTGTTTTATTAAATGCATTGCTTTAAGAATGATACGTGGGAGAATTAGGTTTATAAGAAATAAAATACAGTGGTTTAGTTTATCCCAATTTAATTTACGTTAACTTTTTACAAACAAGCAAGGGGTGGCTCTTAAGAGGGTTCGGCCAGGGAAAAAGAGCCTGAGAAAAAACCCTGGTCGGCTATGAAGTAGCAAAGGAATTCGCGGTCAGGCATTGTACTTTAAAAATTAATGTATTGGCGATATGGCTCGATACTGCATTTAAACAAAGATTTAAAACTGAAGAATATTGGGGTTAGTTAGCCGGGCTAGGCCCAGAATGTAACGGGGTCCACAAAGGGAGGCAACCCGCCTATATACTAGTTCATACAACAAAGCCCACACACACAAACAAAGAGTACTCAAAGTTGGACAATAACGGTCAGCACTCCTGTTTAAGCACCGAGTAATTTCGCAATACATCAATAAATTTGGACTGACCATAAAACAATGCTTAACCACGTTATAGAAAAGGTACAAAATGTTGGGTTAAGCACAAACAAAACACAAGGTTACATTTGAGCAGTACAAGCATTGAGCATAGCAAATTATTAAAATTATAGTGATAATAGTAAAAGCGAAAATAGGGGTGGGTATATTATAATAGCTAAAAGAAAAGGGTTAAAAATTACGTAAAATACAGCTAAACGTAATAGTAAAGAATAAATATACTCATAATACCAATAATCATATAATAATAATATTAACAATAAAAATGCACAATATTACGTTTAGTTACTTTTACTACACATATAAATAGATTAAATATTTAGAACTAACCTTGTAGAATACACTAACAACACTTTTAACAATGATTTTAAAACAATAATTTGATTTTACAATTTTACCAACGAAAACAAATCAATTTCAAAACGCAACCTCCTGTTTTCTTTTTCAAAAACCCTCTTCGTCTACCTCTGGGTGGACATTATCCAGCTAATGTGTATGCCACATGTACTCTTTTGTTTGCTTGACAAATTTTCTACCTAAATTTGTAATTTTATTTGCCTTAAAATAAAATTTTATAACTTAATCCTATTTTAAAATTAGAAAAATAAAATATATTTATAAACATGTATTCTAATAAATTTATAAAGGGGTATTTTTTACGGAACCATTACAATATAAATCGATAAAACTTATAACTAGGTGATATTAAAATTGAAATTGAAAAATTCATCGAATAAATAAAAGGAATTTTGAATTAAAATTTCCTCAATATTATTTTTAAAATTTTTGGCCGAATGATTAAGAAGAAGTTTGTTCCAGTTTGACTTTTTTTCAGTCTATAATATGGCAGTGCTAAATTATTTTTGTTTCTTGTATGATACAGTATTTTGCGAATTAATGTGAACACAAATAGATTTACGTTAAATATTATTTATTGAAATAAAAAATACAAACAGTACCAGTTTATAAATATTTTAGTATTATTTATTAGGAAATATGTCCCCCTTTTGCCCTTTATTAAAGGTTTAACTCGTTTTGGCATAGAATAATTCAATGTTTTACAATTTTCCTTTATTTTGTCATCTCGAAACCATACCTGGGGTGCGTTCAGAAATAATTACCGAGTAAACAGTGTTTACCTTTGTCCGTTCATAAATTAAAAATCGTTACATTGTAATTTACTGTGCAGCGTTCATTTATTAAAAAGTAATTCCCTGCGGTGTACATTTCTTACCGTGGTATATGAGTGTGGTAGAAATTGCCGCGCAAGCGCTTTGGGTCAATAATCATTTAATGCGTAGATTTAATGCGATTTGAGGTTAAAGTTTCGTTACAAATAATAACAGAGACTCTGATAATAATAATTTGCTATATGGTCAATTCTCATATAACTTGTTCCGATGCTGTATCCACTTATTTTTGTGAAAACTGCCGATTTCGGATAAAATAATTTTTCGTCAATCTTAAGTCTATTTTTAGTTAATCAAGCACTAACATTAGTTGTTTCAACAGCCATTTTGTTAAAATATTCATCAATGTTGGGATATTGCAGTTGGTGACCGGTAACTTACGTGACATTTGCAACATAAAGCCTGCATTTTAGGAAAAAATTAATAGATTAGGGTTGTCATAATTTAAGTTCCCATTACCTTAAAATGCTACATGCTCATTACACTAAAAAAACCTTGAGCGAGAATTAGTTTTCACAAAAATAAGTGGATACAGCATCGAAACAAGTTATATGAGAATTTACCATATAAATAAGAGCTTAGGTACGTTAAATAATATAATGGATGGCAATAATGCTTTAGATCAATGCCAGTTTTTTGAAATTGATAGGGAACCCCTCATCAAAAATAACAACGTGTGTTTACAAAATATAAGCGGTAAGTACCTACTTAAGCTATGCCAAATGTTTTAATAGTAATTATGACAATTGTTTTAACGCAGATGGAAGTTTGCATTTTGTAAAGATAGATATTTCAATGAAAAAAGTGATAAGACAATCCTATCCAAATTACATCGTAACCTTTGAACCAGAAAGTAACAATAAGGAGAATGTGTACCATAAGCCTGATTGTAAAGTACAAAAAGAAAAACAGTGGGGTAGAAATGCCACCCTTCGTTTAATAGAACTCCGAAAACAATACGATGATGACTTCAAATCAACAACCAAAAGAAACGACGAAGTTTGGGGGCAAATAGCCTCTGACATGCAAGAGGAATTTAATGTAAGTTTGACTCAGTGTAAAGACAAATGGCAGTATCTGCGAAAATGTTATATTAAAAAGAAAGAAAACATGGGGGCCTCAGCTACCGGGTCAAGCCCAGCAAAATTTGAATATTTTGAAGAAATGGACGATTTTCTGGGACAAAAACACAGTGTTACTCCAAAATTTGTAGCTTCTTCTAGTAAGGGAAATCAGGGTAATGTAAATACAAATGTACATGCAAAGATACTTATAAGTAATTTTAGCCCATGGATCTGACGACACCAGTGCTCTAAATGATTCAGATAGTGATGTGTCTGCCAGTAAACGTAAAAAGCGTAAAATCGAAACACCAAAAGAAGACATACTGGTGGATTTGGTAAAAAGCTACAAAGAAAATGTGAAAAAACGAGATAAGACCGCCAGATAAGGCACCGTGAAGTCATCGAAGCGCGCAATCATGCTACAGAAGTGTTCGCCGAAAAAATGGATGCTTTATTAAAAAAACTGTAACATTACGGTGATAACACACTTAAAGTTTAAAGAGAAGACATTTCTAAGTTCATAGGGAAATATATTTGATTTTGTTTCTTGTTTTTGTTCAAGTAATATTTATTTACAGAAAAAGTGTTTTTGTTGTTTTGTTAACCAGAAATATTGTTAACAGCAGATTTTTGTTTAAAAGATATAATTAAATACAATAAAAATATAATCAAATCAATTAGTTTGTTCTATTCTCATAACTCTATTATTATTATAGTGTATAACTAGATCCTTACTTCTAGTTGCGAGACATTAAGGTTTTTGTTAAATAAAAAGGTCTGCTCTTATTATTTAAATTTTATTATTAAAAGTTTGTTATTTAAAAATACAAAGAATAAAACCTACCGAGATTAGTTTATTATATTACGACGATTTGCAAACAATTGCCTGCATATCACATCCCTTTTTCGTATACCTTGCTGATTCAATAAAGGAATTGCAAGTTGCCCCTCATCATCATTTATTCCTATGACATGTTGTTGTCCATCAATGATGTAGTTTTCAATAGCTAATAATTCATCATGTTGCAGACAGACATTATGAAGCACACAGGCTGCCAGCACTGTGCTTGGAATTAAGTCAGTGCGGTTTATGTCCAAATACTTAAGTCGTCTGAATCTTCCAAATAGTAATGCAAAAGCTCGCTCAATCACTTGCCTAGTGCGAGTAACTGCAGTGTTATAATACAACATTGACTGGGTGAGATTACCCCTGTTAATAAAGGGTGGCATACACCACTGTAGCACAGGATATGCCTTATCACCTAATATTACTTCATCCTCATTAAAATAGTTTTCAATATTTCTACATATATTTTTATAGATGTCAGAATTCCTAAATATTCTAGCATCATTGACGGAGCCAGGATAGCCAATAAATGCATCTGTAAACTTAAGGGTCGAATCGCAAATTGCTTGAAGAGTCATTGCATAATGGCATTTTCTTGTTATATAGGACTCCTTATCCTCTTTTGGTGCTTTTATAACAATGAAGGTTCCATCTACTGCCCCAATCACATGCGGTAAACCTGCTAAGCGGTTAAATTGTTGCTTTATTGATATTCTCTCCTCCACTGATGGCCATTTTATTATTTTTGCACAAAGCTCACAGACAAACTTGACTTACCCAAGTCAAATTTTTCTCCCACAGACCTAAAAATGATTGTACATGTAAATAAAACATAATACTCATACATACTTCATTTATACCGAAAAGAATCTGGCGTGGCAAGTAGCCACAAAACGCTTAGAAGTTGTTTTTCCGGATCAATCATTTTTCTACCAACGGTTTCTTGTCTTCTTAATTTAGGTCCAATTATTTGTAGTAGGTGTTCATATGATTGGCGACTTATACGAAAATGTTGCTGGAATACGGTGTGCGAATAATTACTCACAACATTTTCCACATAATAATTGATTCTTGCGGGTTTGTTTCTCCTACGTCGCTTATTTTTCGCTATAATAACAAACACAATGTCTGTATCACTATCATCTTCGCTTATTTCACTATTATTTTCTTGGTTTTGGTTAAATAAAAAATCGTAACCCATTAAAAATATCGCAGTCTCCATGTTTTTCTAAAATCCTAAAATCATTTTAGTTATAAGTTATAACTTATAACTACTTATATTTATACATGTCATACTTACCTTTAGCCGTTTATAAATACAAATTTGCTGGGTTAGTCCAGTCATATAGGCATTTCACCTCGGAATCTAACGGAATAAGCTGAATTTTTGTAAAAACCTTTATTTTAGCATTGCAAATGTTGTCTCAAAAGTCACATATGCCAACGTGTGAGCGACCTTAGATATTCAAGGTCAAAGGTCGCAAAAATCAATTTTTTGAGAATATCTCCTTTTCTCTGCCTCCTATCGTATTTGCATTTATTATACAAGTTGTAGAGAATAAAATTCTCTACAAATTTTGTTTAAAACATTTTTTTATACGTCCAATCGTTTTTGAGATAGAGGGCGCAGAGTGTGGAGCGCTCAGCCATACGCAAGGTAAACCATGAATCCCAATCTATTATACCGTTTTTTTAATTAATTATTTATTAAATATTACTTAAATAACAATTTAATACCTTATATTTATTTTTATATATTTTTTTAAAACAAATAGTCATTAAATATTACTTACTTTTGAGATACAAATAATTAAATAATGAAGTGAATCATTCTAAATATATTCTAATGTTATTCTAATTAATGATAAATGCATTTTAAGAAGAAAAGACTATAAATGAATTTGCCTTAAATATGTCTCTGGTCATCTCTTGGATCCAGATATTGCTTTTAAAATAACAGACCTGGAAATACTATAGTGGGCTTGCTATAAATAAAAAGGTTAGGTACCTATACGTATATTAAATTTTAAAGCAAGTTGTGACCCTAGGTATAGGTCTAGGGTTGTGACAGGTAATATTCGTAATATTTTAAAGGTTAACATGGCTGATTTGTGCTTTATTTGTAATAAGTTACTTTCTGAAGGTGATTCTGTGACTTTTGTACGCGGTATAAAGACTTTAAAAGAAGCAATTATTGAGAGAAATAAACATAAACTACCTAAATACTTTGAATTCTGTGAACGTTCATATTGAGTGTCGAAAATTGTACGCTATAGCGTACTATATATAGTAAAATTGCAGCAGCAAAACGTCGCCTTGAAGAGACTGGACCTTCAACGTCATCAACTGTACCTCGTAAAAAAGGGAATGATGTGTTTAATTTTAAAATATTGTTTATTATTTTGTGGTGAAGTCGCAGATGAGGCAACAAAGGCAAAAAAATCTGCAAAGTACAAACGCGTTATAAGTAAGTTTTTGAAGATATGACAATTAATGTCAATGATAACGAGGAGAGTGATGATGAGAATGAGTCTGAAATTGCTGGCCAACCTGAAGAAAACGAGGATGAAGAAGATAAAGATTAATAATAATAATAATGTTGATATAAATAAAATCATTTTTTCCTACTCCGATTCAATTATCCTTCAATAAAATTAAATTAAAATATAAGATATATATGAAGATAAAATATATTTGATTTAAAAGAAATATAAATATAAGTATATATACTTATAAGGTATTAAATTAAGGTATTAAATTTTTATTTTAGTAATATTTATTATATAATTAATTAAAAAAACGGTACAATAGATTGGGATTTACGATTTACCTTGCGCTAAAGGTACGTATGGCTGAGCGCTCCACACTCTGCGCCCTCTATCTCAAAAACGTTTCGACGTATAAAAAAATTTTGTAAACAAAATTTGTAGAAAATTTTATTTTCTACAACTTTTATAATAAATGCAAATACGATAGGAGGCAAAGAAAACGAGATATTCTTAAAAAACTGATTTTTGCGACCTTTGACCTTGAATATCTAAGGCCGCTCACACGTTGGCATATGTGACTTTTGAGACAACATTTGTAATGCTAAAATAAAGGTTTTTACAAAAATTCAGCTTATTCCGTTAGATTCCGAGGTTGATCCCTTTTTTTGACTAAGATGACTGTACTAGGTGTACTTTTGACGTTTATATAGCTTACTTTACTATTCCTTTACCTTTCATTTCTGAACGCACTCCTAAATGGAAGCCTCAATCATCTTAGTTTTTGTTGTAGAAATCATTTTTAGCCACCTGTCCTAGCCCACAAATTCTCAATAGTATTAATCTCCGGTGAGTTTACAGGCCCGTTTAGGAGGGTTACCTTTTTGTCCTAGTGTAAATTAGTCGCAATAACCGGCAAAAGGACTGACATTAGCAATTACTTAATGCAGAATGATAGATTATGGGATACACGGTCGATTTTTAGGGTCAATTTTTGGATCATCAGGCAACCACGGTTTTTTTTCATAAATCGATTATATGCCTGTTATAGACAAAAAATACCAAAAATAAACAAAATCTCTCGGTTTTTTTGTTATTTATTAAGAAAAATATAATATAAATGGGTCTAATTTTACTTTTTTGGTTATTTTGCAAAAAGTATCAATTTTATCAAAATTTTGTTTTAACAAAGATATAGAATAATAAATTTTTTACAAAAAAGGTTATTACCATATTTGCTTTCCTGTAATTTTTAAACGTAGTTTTGTAAACAAATGTTTTGCTTAATTTTTTTTTATTTAACTTGGGAAAAAAAATTGTTGGTCGGCCTTTCTGTAGATAAGTTTTTAAAAATTGATCTCTTTTTTGATTGTAATACTTTATGACTAAGAAAAAATCGACAAAAGAAGCATAGAATTAAAAAAAAGGAAAAAGAAATAAAAAATCTACTTTTTAAACAATTTGATGCGATATTTAATTTTTAATCATAGTTACCCAAGCAAAATGTAAACGTCAAATAAAAACAAAATTAAAATGTCAGTTTGGTAGTGCTTTTAAACATGAACACAAATAGCATTTACATGGTACATTTCTTTGTTCTTTTATGTAAACTTCGTCATAATTAAAAACCTTAATATTTAATTCTTCATTTTCTTCATCCTTACTTTGTTTGTGAATGTTTCTTACACATGCTGGACATATTGAGCACGGGTTTTTTATTAAACTGTCTTTATTTATCTTCTTCACAGTTTTCGGTATTTCTGCTAAATTTTTCTTTTTTCCAAAACAAACTAAACACAACAACTTTCTATTATTTTCATGACTTTTAAAGTCGGAATCTTAATAATTTAATTTAGAAAACTTCATGTTTAAAAGCACTACCAAACTGACATTTTAATTTTGTTTTTATTTGACATCTTGCTTGGGTAACTATGATTAAAATTAAATATCGCTTTAAACTGTTTAAAAAGTAGATTTTTTATTTCTTTTTACTGATTTTTTTTTAATTCTATGCTTCTTTTGTCGATTTTTTCTTAGTCATAAAGTATTACAA